TCCGACTGCGGGAGCGGGAGGGCGAGCGAGACCGGCTCCTGCTGTAGCTCCTCCTGCGGTCGCGGCTGCGGGACCTGGAGCGGGACCGCGTGCGGCGGCGGCGGTCACGGCTGCGAGAACGGCTCCTGTCGGGGGCACAGACACAACAAACCGTCAGCTCGGCCCGAGTTAACGGTGGAAACATTCGCATGACATTGTCAACCTTTCTGGGCCTGGCCTTCTTCCATGGACCTGCAGTAGCTTACACGGGAGTCAAAAGCAACATTTACGCCTGTCTTTATATAAAACTGATTCCCCCAAACTACTTTGACAACTGATAACTGCATACAGCAATAGTCATATTTGGCCTCAGCGCGAACTATAATGCTGTCATGAATACAGAGTGTTTAGTAAGATCCAATGAAACAAGATTTGGTTGTGTGGTGTAGAACAGAATTACATGTACCGTCGTACTTTAGTGGTGTGAGTAAAGAGGATTTGAGTAGTGAATACCCCAAAGGGCCTTGTGACAAGATTTTGTAGAAAGACTGAGCCAGATTGGTCACAATTTTATCAGTGATTGAAAGGAGAGTTCTTTTAGGTAGGCAGTTTTGAAGTAAGGAAAAGTAAGAGATTGATTTCAGGAAGATAGTTTGGGGTCAAAGAGTTGTAGTAAATGATCTGTAATGTTCAGACTGGCACTGCTTGAATTTATCCAGAGAATTTTTTGTAAGACAAAGAGAAGACACAGATTCAGAAAAAGAATGTGGATCATTAAGTCCTTTTGAAAAGTGTTACTGGTATATTTTTGGACAGCATGATTTTTAGAGAAGGAAGTTTTGGTGACATTTTACTTATGTACCAAGGAAACCCCCTTAGAATATAACAATGCACAACATTGGATGCAGTGAACATCAACATCTTGTTGGTAACAATGCTTAGCCAAAATTACGATTTTTTAGGGCCTTTCGACCAGACAAGAGTTATGTTCAAATCAGCCTGAACACAAGTGCTCCCTGTCAACTGTAGCTGTACAAAACTTCCACAACATTCAGTACTGCAGGGACAAGCAATTTTCATAGCATCTCACCACCTCCCATCCTCACAGCAAAAATTATCTTTCCTTCTTTACAAGAAAGGAAAAATAACAGTGTTCTCTCTACAAAAACAGTATTTTGTAAAATTGCCAAAAAATTTTGGTCGTCTTTAAATCATCATGCTGTTCAAATTTAGTTAAAATCTAGTTAAAAACTACTTTTATGTATAGTTCTAAGCCATGTGGCTAACCTGTATAAGATGTGAGGTGGTGCAGTACATACCTACCCTAACTGCAGCAAACTTAACTACAGACAGTATATGGCACCTGGTTTACTGGAGTCGAATCTACTGTCGTAACACTGCACAGTGCAGATTGTCGGACGAATCTCACACATAATCAACGGTATGGTAGAATGCTGGGTGAGTAGGTCGATCAACTCGGGCTCACACAAGGGCCGAATGTGTCGACGGCTGAGCCGAAACTGACTTGAGAGCCGTTTTCTGAATGGCCGATGGTCGACTTTATCGGATTGGTGGATGTGTGGGAGGAACACATGCTGGGATTGGCTAGCTGATCATGAGCGTGGCGACAACTGTATGCTGATTGGCTCAGCGCCGATCACATGATGTAGACTACGCTGATTGGCGAGTGCCGATCAGGGAAGTGTGCCACACGCCTGGCGCCCACAGAAGGTACATGGAGAACTTTCAACGACTCATGTGGTGCGTGTGGAGAACTGACTCAAGGAGGAAAACCGCCTGCAAGTTTTACACCAAGTGGCACAGAATAAGTATAATAAGTATGCAGAAAAGAAAAATATTTCATGTGCAATAAGAGATGCGCATACAGATGTAAGGTAACCGTTACCATGTCCAAAATGTTCTCATATCACAATAGTCATCAAGGGTCTTGGAAACTACTTAACTGGCTACAAATGCAACAAGCACCATTTGGGTAATTCATGTAGTGTTTTCTGTTTTAAGAAGCAAATATGGGACGATCTTCCAAAAACAAATATGTGGAACCATAACTTTTTTGAATACAATAAAGAAAATCGTCAACAATATCATTACTTGAAAATCATGGTTAACACATTGCAGTGATTTACATCATCAATAGAATAATGAAAGCTGACAAGAACATTTTAGAAATGGGAGGGAAACCTTACAGAAAAAGCACTTTACCAGTATGTAAAACATGAGGTAACAAATCAACATGGCCTGGTCGTTCTAAATACTCACTCTCTTCTGCCAGCAGCAAAAATACAGTTAGCCAAACAAGAAACAAGATTAGGCCCCAGACTTTTCTGTAAGCCATGCAGAGTAAAGTCTACTTACATGTTCACCAAACACATAAGACGGGAATGTTCTAATACTGTACATGAGGGGGGAGAACAATTTACGGTAAGAGCCACAAAGCAAGCTTCTGAAAATAACCCAGGAAATATGGCTACGTTAGTAAACGGTATATCGCAGAAAGAGTGTGAAATGTGTTATTACCGGCGGCGGTAGCGGTAGCAGTCTCGGGCATAGTGTCCGCGCTCGCCGCACTCGTAACAACGATCTAGTGGGTCGAAGGGACGACGGTAGTACGGAGGCGGCGGGCCATATCGCGAGCGTCGACCACCTCCCATTCCTGTAAGAACAGAGATACACCATCAGCATCATCAAAATGATCGTCTTCATTTAGTTCAGTTTAAGAGTAATGAACAAAATGTAAATGTTCTAGCTTGATAACAATTCCTTGTCACCTTGCCACTATTTTTCGTATCCAACAAGGAATACAAAGTCGTTTAACCTATATGCTTAAATGCACAAAATATATGTCTAGCTTGCGTACGCACCTTCTCTCGCTGTAATGTGTAATCCCAAGTGAATATGTTGTCAATACACGGCCGTCACATTGGAGGGGAAACAAAAACAAAGGTAAGCAAAATAAGCAACCTCTCAACTGTTCAATGAAAATTTAACAATATCATCAGTGAGTGTATGTGTGTCACTGTGAATGCCTCGTCTTTTGGGAGACGTTGTACAATTCAATAGTGGTACCCTATAGATGCCTAGATATCAAAATTCCTAAATCTATCAGAAATATGGGTTACAGTGTAACTTTTATATGTCAACATCCTTTTCCTTTCACTTAATGTGTTTGTGTTCCACAGGCTAGTTTCAGAGTAGCAGATATGAAGACATTGATTTATACAGTCAAAACATTTCATAGTGTACACATAAAAGTTGTCTTTTAGGAAACAGTTCATCAGACAATTCCCTTTACTTTAGGCTGTCTGACCAAAGTTTGTGATATGCTGGCACAGTCTTGTGATAGTCCCAGTGCACTGTGCATTAAGGGTGGGTGTGTAGCAATGCGAAGTAATCCACACCTTCCCTTGCTGCAACCATGTGTGTTCATCCAAAGTGAAGGTGTTGTCAGTGTGGGGGCATCACATATAGAGGAAAAATGGAAACAAGTTGGGCAAAATACAAATCTGGCCGTCAGAGACACCAACAATTTTCCACTTGCCAAGAAGACTGCTTCAAGGCTCATTTTTACTTCAGGGCACACCAAACATTATTTTGCAGCCAGTAGCACACTTGTGCATTCTGTGTACCATGCACAAGTATGGAAAATTCAGACATTCATACTAAATACTGTAAATCACTTCATATTCACATTTTTTTCAGTCACTTCTGTACTGCAAATTTACCATTACCACGAACAAATAGTTTGCCAACTTTCTTCTGCACCTGTCGCCACCGCAAACATACAGTTCTGCAAACATGTCCGTTTTTCTCAGACTTCTAAATTTTGTTACCGCGACTATAAAGTGATTTACAGTAGCTAATAGCAAATCCAGGTAACAGACACTTTAAAAAATGGCACGAAAATCAAGTAAAGTAAAGATTCTCCTAACCTTGGCGAGCTGAAGTTGTGAAGGTTGCAGCCAGGATGGTGGTTGACATGTGGGAAAAAAGAACAAATCGTTAGGACTTGGTAACAAGGAAGTTAGGTGACCGAAAGTTAATCAATTACAAAATAAACTCATAATAAGTTGAATAAATTTTTTGGTAAGGTACATGACTTTCTTACACAAAATATACTTACCCGTGGACATCTCCACACGGGCTGGTGCTCCACAGATCTCTCTGAAGGAAAAAAAATATATATCAATCACATGATTGTCCTTCAAACTTGAAAACAAAAGAAGAAGCAAGGTTTGCAATCAAAATTTGTCAAATGTCGTAAGCAAATTTGTATCCTGACATCTATTTTTCTTCGACTTCCTCCATCCACCATTATTAGAACTGTCCATGCTCAAGGAGAAAGGCAACCAGATTTGGGCAACTGCTAAATATTTATTGTTTGATTGCAGCTCTACTGATGCACTGGTACTGTACTGTATCTGATGAGCGTTTACTTTAAATCACATTCATGTCATGGCAGCTGCTGAGGTGTACCTTCTGTCCAGGTGCTTGACGGCATCCTTAGCATCACGGGGGTCCTCGAACTCCACAAACGCAAAGCCCGGCGGATTGCGAGCCACCCAGACGTTTCTCAAGGGGCCGTAGTAGCTGAAGATGTCTCGAAGCTCCCGTTCGTTCCCGCGGGTGCCCAGGTCCCCCACGTAGACCTTGCAGTCCAGGGGACACTGGTCGCGCGGATCTCTCCCATACCTTGACATGATGATCTACAACAGAGGTGAAATAATATGTGATTTACACACGTCATGCCTTCCAGGGGTTTTTCTAGAAAAATTTGGCATGAGGGAGCAGTATCACGGCGAGGGAGCGAAGCGACCAAGGGGGGGTTGGTGCGGAAGGGGGGTATCCCCCCTTCCGCCATGTGAAGCCTTTGAAAATTTGAGGTTGAAATGGGACATTTTGAGGCTACTTGAGGGGGGGAAATTTGAACTTTTAACCTCAATGTACCTTTCCCAAATTTCTATTCATGCATTGCATATTTCACTTATAAAATATAAGTACAATCAACAGTACACACAATCTGCAAATCACCCTTTATACACTTACACAATTAGTGATCAATGTTACTAGTAGCTCCAGATGACAACATTGGGTTTGCCACAAGCTGAAACCTTTCCCATGGCACAATTGCAACACATTCATCCAAGCTGCTACAAACTCAGGTGTCATGTTTCACTTCAGAGCCTGTTCTATAGTATGCAAATGAAGGAGGTCTAGCTACATGTCTTGAGCAAGTTCTCAATGAACATTGTTTATTCCATTCAAACTTTTAC